AGCAGCAGTCCCCTCTGTTTCTGGGAGGTTCCCTCCAGAGAGGGGGCTGTTGGAGCTGTGGTAAAGCATGTGAGCAAAAAGTGATCCTGGATAGCACGAGGCGGGGGACAGCCGTGGGGCGTAGCTCTGCTAGTTCCTTATAAATCTGCCCCAGCTCCTCCTTACAACACCCTCTCTGAGCCCCTGGTTGTGGGGGATCCGCAGCAGCAGAGCCTGACGTGCAGGGGGGATCCAGCCATGTTATTGAATGTCGGGGGCTGTGCAGGCTCAGAGATTTTCACCTCACATGGAAGCAACCATAGAACCTGCACCTGTGAACCATGGCAGCACCTTATCGTGGCTAATCATTTCCTGACTTCTCTCTGAGGACTTACCCTCACATAGAAATGGGTTACTCATTCAGCCTCTCTGTTTATTTTCCTGATAAAATAAAAGCCCGAGAACATTTGCAGTTAAGTCAGACCCCAAGTCCATAAAGCATGCAGGAATGAGGAGAAATCCAGGAGAAAGAGGGAGAGGATGGGGTAAGGTTTCCTTTCATACACCTGTATTTCAGGTGAAGTTTCTAGATCCAGAGGTTGTACCCATTGCTTCATGCTTAGCAGACATTCATAGACTGTTTGGAGTTTGTTCAATCTCTTTTTGAACTGGTGTAGTCATTTGGTCTCCATGGTTTCCTGAGGCAGTGAGTGCCACAGCTTTAGGAATGTATTGTGAAAAAATATTTATTTGTTATAAACTTGCTAATGGCATATGGTACCCTCAGTTGTGTATTCCAAGATATGGAGAGAGTTGTTCTCTTTCCTTTTCTCCAGGGTATTCTATGCCTCTAACATCCCTCCATCTTCAGCTTTCGCTTTTCCATGCGGAAGAGCCGTAGCTTTAAAACACTGAACTGATTAAAGAACCAGTTTAACATTGATTAAAGAACCATTTTAACAGCGTGTTGGTTTATTACACATTCTAAAATAATGGCTACCAGTAGGACTTCCTTTTACAAGAAACATGCCATTCAGATTAGACACAATGCATGCTTGTAGACAGTCAATGATTTAGGATTTTGGAGTTAACCAAACCTGACAGAAATCCACAGGGAAAGATACTGTTTTATTTCTTTCCCAAAATTCATAGTCCCTTGGTCTCCGATTTCTGCACAGTGCTCCCAGGCTTCACTGCCTGTTGGTATTTGTGTAGCATCAGTTGATACTGGTTGCACTCAGTGTTCCCTTCCATGGAGTTAGCTTCATTGGCTTCCTGGGAACCAAGTAGCTTTCAGCTTTGCAATTAAGCACAAGATTTCAGCAGGTTACAATATTTCTGGTATTTCTTTTCCCAAAATCTCTCTGTGCTTGACTTTTATAGAGCATTTATATATAAACAAGTGGTGTAAATGTTAGTGCTAAAGGAATATGAAGGCCTGATTCTCTACTCACTGTAAAAAGAGACAAAATAAGCCTGGGTGCTTATCATCCAGGAAAAAGCATATTTATTTTTCAGTTAGATTTTGGGGAGAAGCAGCCTGTGTTTTTCTCCCATCTGAAGCAATCAGATGACAAGTAGTTTTATTTTAGTAAACAAGCCTGGAGATGCATTAAGATTTAAATTATATTAAAGATCAGAAAAGGAAGATAATTGCAGAAGTTGCTTTTAATGCAGGTAAGTGCATGTTCCTTAAGGGTCCAAAGCTGACACTGCTGCTGCTAGCCATGGCAGGATCTGTGTCAGGACACTGTTGATTTTAACAAGTGCAGACCTGCTTGAGTAGCTTTTCAACTTTTCCTCTGTAAATAGTAACAGTTTGTTTGTTTGTTGAGGCATTTCCTGGCTTAGGCAACAAGTGTTTGTCAAGATGTAGAGAGATTGTGTTTCATCAGCAAAATTGTAAGGCTTCATAAATTATTATTCTACATGGTAAACACCTTGTACACAAAGGGCTTTTTATGGGCAGGAGCCATGGGAGGTAGGGTGGGAGAGCAGGGTGGTATGTAGAGAGTCTTCAAGCACCCTGCATGATCCTGATTCCACAGAAAAGGCTGGAAATACGTGAAAGCAGCAAGTCTGTGTTACCCTATCAGTGCTGCTGTTTCTAGAAGGGTGTTGTCTCCCCAGCCTTTGCATGGAGGCTGACAGTTTTTAGCTTCAACACTGCAAAGAAGATGGGAGAAAAATGCAATGCAAAGCTGTGTGCGTATAGGAAATAGAAAATAATCCATATCATTTTAGCATGAGAATATTTATAACTGTTGGGGAAAGCCCATGTAGGACATCTGGCCTTTTTGTGGAAGGTGGCATGTGGCATTGTCACCCAAGCAGGGGACAGGGAGGGGATGCTCATCCTGGTGCCGCCAGCAACCAGCCACTGGCAGCTTTGGTAGCCTTAGAAACTGCGCTCTGAAACACCACGCTGCCTGACAGGGATGTTGTTAGGGTAACAGTGGCTTTGTGTGCATGCCTGCCTGCAGAAGAGATGCTGGCCCAGCTCACTGAACCTGACTGCCTGGAGAGCCCTTGTGCTTCCAAGTACAGGCTTACTCTCTCCAGAAACCCCAGCTCCACACACATGTCCCGATGTCCAGGACAGACATGCTCCCAGGCACAGCATGTTCTGAAGTCTGACCCATACAACCAGCCTGTAACTGCCAGAGTTTTTCCAGAGACCTCAATCCATTACTGACGATTTAACTATCTTCTTGCTTTACAATCAGTTGGCAATTACTTCATCCTCACCTCTCAGTTTGTCCATTCTGGCAGGCAGATCTGCTGAGGGTAACAGAGGAATCAGGTGCCTGTTACCCAGCATAGTTGATGGAGGCCCAGCTTGCTCTCAGGTATCTCTGATCAGTTAACACTGATCTGAGAACATAATATGCCAACATGCTGAGTGCATGGAGAGGGAAGGCTCTGCGTTATGCAGTGTATCAGGAGCTGCTGGTCTGGGGACATATCAGAGCCACAGCAGCATTCTGACTTCTGTGGTGGAGTCTGAACTGGTAGACTGGGCTTTGTCTAATGTGCAAGTAGCAAGTAGGTACTTTGCTCTTTGTGAATATGCTTAATGGGATAGGTAGCATGGCATGCACACAATTCCTGGGAGAATCGCTATCATTGCTGGAGTTTCCAGCAGGCTTGCAGGCTGTTCTCTGTATTTGTTCATCTTTTTCAAAGTGAATAAGGAAGTGATGAGAATGGAGATACTGCTAGACAGATAGGAAGGTTGAGAGGTGTTACAAGCCTCCTCCCTTGTAGTTTAGTGCTTTCACTAGCAGCCTTGCCATGGGAACTGAGGGTGTGCAGAGAATGTCTGTCCATTATGTGAGGTCAGGAGACGTGGTCAGGACAGAGGAGGTTACGCTGAAGGTCAGCCCCTGCTGACACTGTTGGGTACCTTGTGCTAGAGCGGGGCACTCACTAAAAATACTTACCATGGAGGACTGAAGAAGTGCTCAGAAGGTCTTGGTTGTAATCTAGATTTGATGCAGTTGGGTGTGAAGGTCTTTGATATTGGCAGATGGTTTACAAACTGTGGGCAGGATTGAAGGAACAAGACGTGTGTGGTAAGAGGTGCTGTTTCGACAGACCAGCTCCTTGCTGCTGGTTTGCCGGACTTGAATAGCCACGTGCACACTACCAGGGACCCTGTGTGTTGTTGGCATATGGGCTCAGTGTAGTTGGGGTTCAGTATGATGTCCCCCAGAGGCAGTGAGCTCCCTGAAAGGTCTCTCTTTTCAAGAGGCTTTTATAGTGACATGCTTGAATAAAATTACATTCTGCAAAGGGTCCCACAATGCCCATCAGAGCACTGCAGTGGCCCCTGCCATGCCCATCCTATCGTGACAGACTGGCAGTGAGTTATGGTGGTGTTTTCTACTGACCTGCTCTTTTACTCGAGCTCACTGGTTAACCCCAGGATTCAAGTTGTGGATTTCAGAGATCCTTGCGGTTAACTGGGTGCTTTCCCCAAACAGCTGCATTCCTCAGTTGGGCACCCTTAGAGTTTTCTCCAGTCTTGACTCTCCTCTTCCTTCTACTTTGCAGGCTTTCCCAGATGGTTTACAGGCACTTTAGAAAGTAGTATTAGCATAACTCCTAGGCAATGCCCTTTCCAGCCTTCTTGCTTAGAAATGTGTTTGTTCTAAAGCCTTGGTCAGGCAAAGCCCTGGTGGATACACATCCCTGCAAGCAGAGGGGCCGGTGCCATGAGTCATCCGAAAAGAAATAGCATTCCTCAGTCGGGTCTGGCTTTTCTTTGTTTCCTTTTCCAAGCACTCTGTTGTGCCCCTTGGTTCAAGCCCTCTCCCAGCCATTCCTCAAAATGGAGGTAAAAGAATAGTAAATGAGAAGCTTCAGTAATGTCCACCCTCACCTCTTGCAAGGTGCATTTGAATATCCATGCTGTGCTCAGGCTTTGTGTATGGGAGGAAGCTGTCACAGCTCCCCAGGAGAGGAAGCCCTGGTATGAGCACATGAAGTGGATTGAAAGGGATAGGAGGGAGCAGCAATAAAAATTCTCCTCATTAACCTGCCCACATTCTGACAATAAGCAGGTGAAGCTGAGCCCATCTGCTTTACTTATACTTACCAGAGGAGCTCTTGGTTTCTCCTAAACGTATGCTCGCCTCCTACAGGCTCTTAAGAGTGTGATTTCCCAAGCTCTTCTCCAGGGAGAGCTGCTTTTCATTGTGGTGCAGTCGAAGGCTGGATATGTACAATGAAAGGCGCTGCTGGAATAGCTGTGGGCACCGTGATGAATTCTTTACCTATGAGCATCTTTTCTAAGAGGGACTTACTGAAGCCAAGCTGACTTGTTGAGCACACTCAGTTCCTAAAATAGCTACACCACAGGCTGAGCTATAGCTGAGCTGCTGCTTCATGTCATCCTGTGCTTGTATAAAAGCTTTCAGCTTAAGGAATTGAGACCCCTGGGGGCAAAAGCACTGTCCTACCTCTTTACCCCACTCCCCTGTGCAGTAACTAACCACTCCATCCACTGTGTGTTACAGCAACTGAAACATCCCAATCTGGTGAACCTGCTGGAAGTGTTCAGGAGGAAGCGGAGGCTGCATCTGGTCTTCGAATACTGCGACCACACAGTTCTCCATGAGCTGGACAAGCACCCCCAGGGGTGAGTGGCCTGTTTCTCACTGGGAGCTTTGAACAAAAGGAGTTAGATGGTGTCCGTGGTGGTGTTGCTCTGCAGAGTTTTCAGAGGAATTTCATTAATTACAGGAGAGGTTTCCCAGTGCTCAGGACTTGCTTTGTTCCTGTGGTATAGCAATGATGTCCAAAAGAATTGTGTATGAGCCTCTGTGTGCTGCTCACCAAGGAGACTGGAGCACTGAGCCTGAGCGTTTGGGTGCTCTTTGGCTGGCTTGACAGCAGCAAACCCAAATAGTTTGGGAGCATCCTGTGTCTTGCTGCAAAGAGGTTAGGGTTGCTGGGCTAGACGGGCAGCCTCCCTGGTGTGTTGCACATTGCTGTGGGCTGTGGGCACTGGGGTGGTGTCACTGAGCACTCAATATACAGTCTGTAGCAATGTCACTGATGATCTGTGTGACAGACCAATGACTTCCAGTGATGCTGCAGTGGTAAGGAGTATATGTTGGTGGCAGGAGTTACCAGGAGCCGTGCCTGCACCTCTCCGCACAGCCTCAGTGAACTCCCTGGTCAGATACCCTCTTCTTTAAAAGGTGCTTGCACAAAGCGTGAGCTACGTGGGCAGCAGGAACATTCTCTAGGACAGGGTTTGTTCTTTTCACACATTATAAATGACACTCCCACTGAATACATTGTCCCTAATTATTCACAGTGACTTGGTGCTGTGGAAATGCTAAGCAGAAGTTCATAAATCATTTTACAGGCCTGGAGCTAAATGAATTGCCTGCAGGAGACTAACTGGGGGTTGAGTAAACAGAACCTGTTACTCTCTTTTTCCCTGATTGGGAGCTCTGGAAGGAGAATGGAGCACACTGATAGCAAATGTCTTTGTGAGCTGGTGAGCAGCTTTCATCCCAGTTTGAACCTGTTCACCTGGAATCTGAAGAGAGGGTGGATAACCCTCTTTGAAGAAAATACTTCACATTTACTTTCTATTCATCAGAACAACTCCAGTGTGAATGAACATGTAACGCCTGGTTGCATACTTTGCTTTTGATCTTTGCTATGGCAGATGGTCAAGTCTTTGGTGGTCAGGATTAAGACAAGTGGGCACGGACCTCTTTGCACCATGTTCCCAGGTCATTTGACCAACTTCATCCCCTTGTCAGGCTGTCAGTGCAGCACTCTCAGGGTGCTCTAGGATGTTTCTGCAAGGAAACTCCAGCACTGCAACAGCACTGTCAGCACAAGACCTTCAGTGCTGTCAGCAAAAGGTGCCTTAAAGAAAAAGTCAGAATTCCAGCATATTGTTTTGGTTTTGTTTCTTTTGTTTTGTTTTTTCTTTGTGATGAATCAGAAGCTTTTCAGCATTAAACATATGAAATCAAATGGTATTTGAGCTTGGAAGTGCCAAGATTGTCACCTCTTCCTTTCCTGAGGTTGTTAGAGATGATTACAGACAGCCAGGGAAGTTTAAGAACTGCTGCACAGTAACTGAAAGAGAGGAGAGGAGCCTGGATCTTTCACAGAGGCTTTATTTTTCTGAAGTGTTTGCCAGCCGTTGGAAGGAGAGGAGATGCAAACCGAAGCAGAGCTTTATACTCTTGTAGGAACACCCTTCCCCATCCCATTTTGGTCAGCTCTCCACTCTGGACAATCAGTGACATGACAGTGTTGCAAGTCATGCATTTATACCCTGGATGCTCCACCACCTCCAACTCTGAGCAGCTGCAAGGGCGGAAATGCCTGCTGGTGTTTCAGGATTGCCAGGAAGCATGGCTGCTAAGCACAGCCACGAGGCACGATTTGACACAGACTTTTATGCATTGATGTGTGGTCATCAGCTGGCAGGCTTCATGCTGGCTGTGATTGAGTGGTACCAGACATGCTGGCACGCTCTTACCTGACGTAAATCTTTGTATCTTGTTGCATTGACTGAATTTGGAAGTGGTGTTGACATTCCTTTTGATGCTCCTGTGATACTTGAAGGACAGTCTCACAAGAGAGCATTGCTTTGTGCAGGGATGCACCTCAGCCTCAGCTCTGAAACCTGGGAAGAGGTGCAAACAAGTTCCTCCACCAGCAGCCCAGCGTGACAGGTTCGCCACACTGGAAGATCAACAAACTGAGGGTTATTAGTGTTTCTTGTAACTTACTTAGAGCAAGAAAATGTGCCTAGTGTTTTTTCTCTGAGTTTTCTGACCTGATCCTGATGGTTTTGCTCAGAGAATCCTGTACAGTGTTAGCACTTAAAAGGCCTCTTCTTCCTTTTTCCTGTAATAGTGAAGCCAAAATAAAAATGTGCTTTTTTAAAAACAGGGTGCCGGAACATCTAGTGAAGAGCATAATCTGGCAGACCCTCCAAGCTGTGAACTTCTGCCATAAACACAATGTAAGTTCCCTAAACAGCACTACTGATTGCTGTAATGTGGCCTTGGAGGAACGGAGATTCTGTTGCTATTTTCCTGATGACAGAGCTTTCATGGGATGAAGTCAGATGAAATTTCCTGTTTTCAACAGGAAGCGTGTACCTGAAATGCTGATGTATACCCCCAACAGCTGCATTCACTGCAGGTCCCTTGGGTTTGCTGTCAAGGAATGATTTGCACTAATGACCTTGGATAAGCTTCCAGGCTGAGCAGGAATATATCCCTGTGTGTTCCCTGTGCCACTGATGTTTAGAAATCTGGTTTAACATCTCATCAGCTGAGACCTGAGCAAAGTGCTGCTGATTTCACAGGAAGTCTTTCTGTTGATAGTCACAGATATTGAATCATGTCACCAGCAAAAAAAGTACAAACATTAGATTCAATAAACCAGTTTTACAACCCCTCCTCTGCTTTGTGGAGGGAGGTGAGCATTATATGTGCGACATCTGTTTTGTAGAAAGCAGTAGGGATGCTTTAAGAAGCAGGGAAATAAAGAAGGCTTTTGTAGTTCTGTAGGCAAACTTAGTTGTAATTGTCTTTGGTTTTGTTTATCTGCCAGTGTGTGAGATTTAAGAGTTGGGCAGGAGATCGGTCTGGAATGGCTGTTTTGTCTTTGCTGGGAGAATTATGTTGAACCACAGGAACTTGGCCATAGGTCTGTCCTGCTTCCAAGATCTGTTGTTTTGCCTCTTTTTTCTGTTCTCCCACTCAGTCTGAAAGATTTAATGGAGTTTTAAAGCAGAGGGAACAATGAGATGCTGCAGTCTGACGAGTAATGAAGTTTTATGCAGCTGCCCTTTTTGGAACTCCATGACACCAGTTTAACAAGCAGCATTTCAGTCCTCAGGAGGAGACACAGTAATCTACCAGCTTAGCTAGGAAAAGTCTGAGGTGTTTGAGCTGAGGTGATGGTAGAGGAGGGGCAATGTGAGCTAGACCCTGGTGATCTCAGTAGAGAACACCTTTCATAAATTGGCAGAAGAAATTACAGTCTCTGCTAGTTTCGTCAGCAGAAACTCTTTGCCAATCCCAAAATCAGTTGTTGTGAACCTTCAGCAAGTAAAGTCACCTCCCAGGAATCACAGAATTGCTGATATTGGAAGGGACCTCTGGAGATCATCTCATCCAGCCCCTCTACTCAAGCCGGGTCAGCTAGAGCAGGCCGCTCAGAGATTTTTCCAGTCAGGGTTCAAGAGTCTCCAAGGATGGAGGCTCCACAGACTCTCTGGACAACCTGTCTGGGTGTTTGGCCACCCTCACAGTGGGAAAAAAAAAAAAAAAACCAACTTAGATTTAAATGAAATTTCGTTTGTGTTTAATTTGTGCCCATTGTCTCTCATCCTTCCAATGGACACCACTGAGGAGAGCCTGGCTTGGTCTTCTTTACTTCTTCCCATCAGGTATTTATGCACATTGGTAAGATCCCACCTGAGCCTTCTCTTCTCCAGGTTGAATGAATGATGGACCCAGTTCCTTCATCCTCTCCTGGAGTGTCAGTACCTCAATCCCTGAATCATTTTGTCAGATACCTAAATCCCTGAATCATTTTAGTGGCCCTTCACTGGAGTGACTCCAGTATGCCCACATCTTCCTCCTACTGAGGATCCCAAAGTTGACAGAACTCTGGATGTGTCTCACCTGTGCTGAGTAGAGGGAATACCAGGCATGCTCTGGCATCTGCAAGGATAAAGTCCCGTATCTAAACCGTAGCCTTCATCTCATCTGTAAGTTTTGCCAGCCAAATCATTTGCTTGTCTACTAGATTATCAGTAAATACAGTTCACGGACTTTGTCCAAGATCCTAAAGGACCTGCACACCTCTCATTAGGATCTCCTTACATATTTGTAAACCCGAGTCCCTTCTTTAGGAGTGTGTTACACATAGCTGTTTCAAGTGAGTTGCATTTGCAGAGAGCCAGGTTAACAACAATCCTTGTTACACAAACCTCGCTCCTCCTGCTAGCAAATTCCCAGCTGGTTCTGGGGAGCTGACTTGGTGTTGTCCTAGTGATACAGAGCTATGCAGTTGGAGCTGGGAGCCTACACAGTGTCTCATCCCAAAGGTGGGGTATAGGCAGGGGAATTGTCCTTCTCAGCAGGACATAGATTTAGCTGCTGTTAAGAAATGCTTC